ATTCCATGAATTTTTACACAAGCAACCTCAGAGAAAGCATTCCAGCTAGATTTTGAATTTGCAAATGACACTACCTTCGACAGAGACAAAAAACGGGAAGACCTCAAGAGATCTCAGGATCTCTTGTATATGCAAACAAAGAAACCAAAGAGAGTTTTAGAGCTGGCTTAGTCTCAGGGAATATGTTTAAGAAAAAATAATCTATCTTATTCATATCTAATAACAGGAACTGCCGTTTGTGGGCCAAAAATGGATGTGGGCCCCCACGACAAGGGCTAAAGAATTACCATTGGCAAATGAAGAAGAGAATTCAAGTATACAGAATATAATGCCTTATCCATTCCTTTTGCAAAAATTGCATTTTGGCCACTTCCAAGTTGGCACCACAGACAGGAAGAGAAAAAAAAAAAAGATCTGAGGAATGAAAACTAAAACAGAAGAGACTGGCTAAGAGAAACGGCTCTATGAAATGCATTTTTAACATGAGGGTTTGGCAACCTTGAGAGGTGCTGACCAAGAAATGTATGTTTGGATATTTAATATCATGATGGCATAAAGTAGACATGGTGTTGAACATCAAATTCTAAAATGTCATGTCTAGGAGGCTGTCAATGAAGCTGAAAAATTCAACATTGAGGACCAAAAGAATGATAAGGTATTACTGAAAAAACAGTGAAAATTATCCTAAGAATTAGTATACCAGGGCACCAGGACATTGGTTAAAAGAAAAGCAGGAAGAAGAATCCTTTAGGATGCCAAAAGCCTATTTCCACATAAACAGTCTTGCATATGCTACCCAAAAGGCAAATTTAATCCTGCAAGTCACTAACCTTTAACATGCTTGGATTTTTTCCAAGAAAACGAGTCATTTACTCAGAAGATGAAGTCTTTTTTTCAGGGTGCTCACACTTGTCTAAGAGGATAAGGATACCCTTCTGGACTAACACTTTACCTCACCAGTGTTATCATCGTCTACCCATCATTCAAAATAATAATTTCTTCAATCTCCCTTATTAGATGTTATATATTTAACTGCCTGAGCTTTCCTAATATCCCCTTAAATATAAAAAGAGAAACGAAGGAAGAAAGGGAGGGAGGAGGAAAAGGAGGGAAGGAGAGGGGGAGAGGAAGGGGGTGATGGGGGGAGGGTATTTGTGAATACACACATAGTTCATTTATCAGGTCTCTGCTTTTCCAGGTAATCTCTAGACAAACGTGAGAGATTAACTGGCACACTGAATTTGCCTCGGCTCTTCACAGACATTAATACTCAGATTAACACCTATTGGTACAGTACAACAAGGACATAGGACACCTCAGCCTCCGTTTGGGAATGACTTTCTGCAGCATCAGCTGCCCAATGGCCCTCAGGACCCTTCTGAACTAGAGAGAGTAAGAGAAATCTGAGTGCAAATTCAGATGACCGTACTCAGCGGAAGAAAGATAATCAGACGTTTCTTTGAATTATCTGCATCTCTGTGTCTATCTATTTACATAGAGTGATTAATTACCTATATTCCATCCTAATGGATTTGGCTATATAAATCTAGATGCAGCTCTGCATCTACTTTCTCTTATATCAAAAATGTTTTTCTAAATCAAAATTCAATTAAATTAACACAAAACTTCCTTTTTGTTTTATAGTTTCATGAAATTGAAATCAGTTGATAAGTATACAAGTTATATTGTTTCACAAATATATTAAGGATGGCACAATGTTTAACAAGTTATAATTAAGAATATTTCTCCTTGGTAACATCTGCTCTTGGTTAGAACAGAAATGTGTAGATAAGGAACGAAGATCAATATTAATAATCTATAGATATTGAGAATATACTAGATACCTAATAGTGGTAATCCATCCATGTGATAAACATTAAAAATCAGTTATGACCTCTGTCCTCAAGGACTTTATATTCTAATTGGGTTTGGAAAAGATGAAACTATGTTCTTAGTCATTCACTCATGTCAGATATCAAAGTAACCGCATTTCTATTGTCTAGACTCCAGGTAAATCTGGACGAATTTCTATTGTTTGCATTTCAAGAAAGGCCTCCAAAAGGCCAACTAAGACTGCAGTGTAGTGGTTTAATGCAGCCAGACTCTCCAGCCAGGAGACCTGGAATCAAGTTCTGGGTAATCTTAACAAACGTGTAGAACCTCACCAAGCATCTGTTTTCCTATCTCTGTACCGGGAAAATTAACATATTCTACCATATTGGGCTGCTGTGCTGAGCTGAAATAACATACTCAAAAGTGCTCTGAAACCATAAAGTTATGTTAGTCATTATGACATCAAGCCACTGTGGAGTTGGAGGATCATTAGGACTCCTTTAAGAGGAGTTCACAAAGGGCACTTTATGTCAAGGCCCTGCCCTCCCCTGTGGTCTTTGGAAAGGGCAGATCAAAGGAACCCCAGAGTCTGAAGAGCACCCTCTCCTGCTTTTGCGTAGCTGTATTTCACATAGCCGTCCTCATGTTTCTCATTTTAGTGACCTTTTTTTGACTCTTGTTTGGGATTTCAATGTACTATTTAATTTTTTTCCTGTTATTACAAATTTTATTTGTCTTATACAGTGCCAAAAGGGAGGCACTTAAGATTCTGCCACTCTTCGGCCAAGAGGGTAAGTTAAAGCCTTTCATTTCACTAAATTAAAAAAAGCAGAGTTGATAATTTAAAAAGTGATCTCAGATTTTGGGCATACTTCTCAACCAAAGAAACTTGGGCCATTCTTCTCTTTCACTGCGCACACACACACATAGAGGCATGACTCTTTACTTACACAAGGACAGGGAAGAAAATAAGATTACAGTAATGATCCATTCAAAGTTGTTTTAGTTGTTTGAACTTTAACAGCTATGTTCAAAAATAAACCAGTATTAAAGGAAAAACAAAAGTACATGCTATTAAAGAGGGTTTTTTTTGCCCTAGATGTTTATTTGATGAGGAAAATAAATATTTCTGCTTGAGGTGTGTTTCAATACACATAGTACAGCTACTTAAATTTTAAAACTGAAAACATTCTTAAATAGGAACAAAAAGAACCACGTAGGTTCACAGAACCTGCTTCTGGACAATTTCTAACAGAAGATAAGCCTGAAACAACATAACTTCTGAAAATATGTTAGCTAATTTTTTATGCCTCTTATAAATATTCATATTTTAAGTTAATGATTTTTAAAAGTCAGAAACCTTTAATTTGTCTAGAAAACTACTTTTATTTTCCTGAAATCGGACCAATGTACACACGTGCCCTGGTTTTCTCATTTTGATAGCTGGTTGAGTCTTTCACACAACAGAGCATCAGAGTAGATATTTTCCTAGACAATCTTTAGAAGAAAATAGTTCATTTCTACCTTACGTAAAACAAGAAAGCTCACAACTTTCACCCAGTTACAAACATTATTCAAAACAAATTTCTCAATAGAAAGTATGCGTAGCGAGTTGTATAGTCCTGAATTCTGGCTGCCCTGCACTAGACACCCACCACAGCAGAACACCGTCTTGTCTTCTACCCCATCAGGAAAGGCCAAGAAACCGTGGCCTTCACACACTGAGTGTTAACGGTGACAGGAGGAAATATAAGCAAAATTGAATTGTCGGAATTCCGAGTTCCAGACTGACCAGTTTCTGCTAAGCTACTGGGTTTTGAATAAGTAACTGCAGTAAGGTGCACCAAGAAGGATCTGGTAACGCCAGCACAACTCACGTGCCCTCCTTGTCAGAACAATGTGCCATCAAAGGTACAAATTTAAAAAGGGGATTTCCAGCATCTTCCTTCATTTGTATACACCTCTCCTTCCTTCAAGCCCAGAAGAGGCTGAATAAGATTTACCTAGCTTTGGACGGGGAGCAGTCGCAGTGACAGACCGACCAACTGGAGAGGCATGGGTACTTTTGGTATTCTGCCCATTCCCTTCCTCTTTGCTCCGCCAAAGCCCAACTTCTTGAGATGGGACAGAACATGCCTTCAGCTTACAAACAACTCTACAAAGTCGGCCCAACAACCCCTGTAACCTTCCTTCCGAAGTTAGTCGAGAGTCCACACTGAATTCGGGTCACCTCAATCTCAAATCAGCAGAGCATGAACCAGGAGCTCCCGGAGCCCCGCCGGAGCCGGAGCGCGCGCTGGCGCCTTGGGGCGCTGCGCTCACGTGGTCGCCGGCCGCGGCGCGTGCGGCTCCGACCTCAGGCGGCGGGAGGGAAGCGCCGCCCCGCGAGGGAGGAGAGACCCGCAGAGGCACCGGACGCGCCGAGGGGAGGGGCGGGTCCCAGGGCGATCCGGGACCTGGGGAGGAGAAGCTGAGCTCCAGGCAGGGCCGGTCCCACTGCAGTTCCCGGGGGTGTACGCAGGAGGGAAGACACAAGTTTGAATGGGGTAGCAACCTGAAATTTTTTCTCTAAGGTTTATTTTAAATGGGCAACTGCGTTTGAATTCTAGCTAGCGTGAGAGCTTCCAAGGTCGTCACAGTCCCCTCCTTGCCTGGAACCCAAACTTGAAACCCCAGGCAAAAGAGGAAGCAAAGGTGTCCCGAGGTAGCAATTCCATCCCCACCCACCTTTTAGGGAACTCTGCCCACTCGGTCTCAGGCGAGCTCTGGGGAACCGCGCCCTGGAACAAAGAGGAGATGTTGTCCCCTCCAGATGCAGAAAGCCCACTGAGTGTTGGGATTTAAAACCTACAGCAGCCAGCTGTGTTTACGGCTTGTTTCGTTTTGCTGGGGGATGGGAGAGGAATCAGCACTCTACGACGTTTTTCCCAAACTGGGAGACGGGAGCTTGGCATCCGATCCCACTAGCACAGAACTCCAGTCAACTCGGGCCGCGGCGGCTGCCACTTGGGGGTGGGGAGGAGAGGGAAAGGAGGGGAAGAGAAGGAGGGGCGGCCGAGGGGCCGGCGAGGGAAGGAAGGAAACAGGTGAGCTCCCACCGCCACTCATCGGAAATCCAGCGCCGCGGTCCCCGGCGCGCCACCGTCCCGACCTGGAGAGGCACTTACCGGCTTTACACGGGTCCTTGTAATCTATCGTCTCCGCTCTATCCTCTTCGTTCCCATCAAAAGTGTAATCATAATCGAAGCCGGCGCAGACCCACAGCTCCCCGTAGAAAGCAATCCCCGAGGCCACCAGCCACATGAGCATCCTCGGGGAAAGCGTTTCCAGCCCCATCCTCCTCCCCTAGAGGAAAAGGAGGGGACGGGACCCGGAGGTGAGGCGTCCGCGGTCCGCGTTGATGTGCGGGGCGAGGGGGACCGGTGCTCCTCTCCCTACCGGGAGGCTCCTCGGCGGGACCGGGGTGTTCAGGTGTCCGGAGACATACGGGTGCCGTCGGGACAGTAGAGAGGGCAAGAACTGCCTGTTACCCCCAGTTGCAGGGAGAAGTTGGCTAGGGGCCCGCGGGTGGGCGGAGGGCAGGTAAGGAGCTCGGCTCCCGGAGGCGGGGAGGGGCAGCCGCGGGCAAACTCGCCTCTCGCGGAGCGGGCGCTCGCAGCCTGCCAGCTCGTCCTTCTGGCGGCCGAACTTCCCGCGGCCGCGGCTCGGCGAGCGGCGCCCCGCGGGCTCAGCTGCCACCGGAGCTCCGGCTCCCGCGCCGCGCCCCCGTCGCTGCCAGGACCCGGCGGTGGAGCACGAACCGCCGCCGCCTGCGCCCGCCGCCGCCGCTCCGGGAAGATGAATCCGGTCTGCACATCAGCACATCTGAACTGAAAGGGGAGACCGAGGAAGGGGGTGGGGGGCAGGCATGTCTACGCCGCGAGACCTTAAAAGCCTGCAGAAGCCAGCAAAGCCAGGAGAGCAAAAGTGTGAGGATGTGGGGATGCACTGTTCGCCTTTTTCCCCCCAGGCTGTCTTTTTACCCTCTTCCTAACTTGGAAAAAAAAAATCTTCGCAGCATCTAACCCAATCACTTGCATCCTGCTTACTTATTCATACAATCAGGGTCAGGATCCGGGCCACAGCCTCCTCTCTGACTTCTTTTGATAGCCTTATACAAACAAACAGACACGAGCGCGCTGACAATTCCATTTATATTTTACTAAAGATAAAAATGGATATATTATGTATCTGCGTCCGCGAACAGAAATTAATAGATGATGTACGTGTCAGTAGAGAGTGCCAGACCGGGGGTGGCGCGAGGGATCGTGATAACTTAGCAGCAAATCTCTACTTCCCCTCCCCCCAAATAAACAGCGAATGTGTGTTTCTTTCCTTTGCTGCTGTTTAACCTTAGTGCAGCCCAGGAATGGAGGAAAAGTGTCTGAGCCTCCGCGACTTAGGTAAGGAAATAGACTGCTTTAAAAGTCCCCCAACCGACAAAGTTTTGGTAAGAACTAAGATCCTCAGAACTGCAATTAAAAAAGAAAAATCCGAAATCAAGTTACAGATTGCCGCAGCAGGAAACGCTAAGACCTTGCTGATGGGCTGGCGCTATGGCTCACGTGGGCGCAGGAAGGGAAGTTGGAAAGAATACTCGGGAAGCAAATTTTCTGTGACAGTTCTGGCGCCCATGCCCAGAGTTGCTCAGTATCCTTCGGCGTCAGTTGTTTGACTTTGGAGGGGAGTGTGTAAAACCTGGCAGCAGGATCAGCGAGGTAAACCACATGTCGGTCTAGCAGACGCAAGACAAACACAGGTTGTGGGAAATTGGGAAGGAAAAAAAAAAAATCAGAGGAAATCTCTGCAAAACCCCTGTTGTGAGCAATTCAGAGGTTTCCCCACATCTGCAAGTAGTTTCCAAAATAGGTGAGAGGATTTCTCCTCCCCCAGATTTCCAAGGGACTGGTGACTGGAAGCCTTCCTTTTTCCGACTAAATCTTGAACTGTCACTTTAGCGGGGACTTGTAAAAAATTTTCTGTTGCCTTTACATCTCATTTAACGTTTAAATTCCCCCCCTTTTGCAATTTGCCATCAACATACAGTCTCATCTAGAGAGAAATATGAAGGTAACCACACACACGCCTTTGACAGGTAGATCCAGTCTTCCGTTTGGGGATTTGACCAGGTTCCATGTTTGTTAAAGAAAAATTAGAGGCTAATCTTGCAGAAGTATCAACTATTTCCAACTTAACCTAACAGTAAAAGCATGGGAGGACTAAATAGAACTGACTGATTCCATGTTCCTGGCAAAACTGAGGCTTTTTCAGAAGCCGCTACAGTGATGGGGCCTCACTGCTGGAGCAGATCTCAAACTTTTCGCCCCAGGTCACAGAACAGAGAGCAGATTTGAAAAGAGCACGTTCAATAAGCAGGTGGAGTATTCGGTTTTGAAATCTCTTGCTGAGTCATTCTCAAATTCTTTTACCCATCCAAAAAAAATGTTTGCATAATTAATAATGGTGTTACTCTAGTGCAGGGCTAAACAAGAATGCATTCTGCTTAGCCCATCTAAAAGCCCAGAAAATACGATTTTCCTTTAGAGGATCCTTGCTCTTGAGCTGCTGACAGTTTCCCCACTCTCTACCCCAAGACTCTTAAAATGTCGTTGTTAGTAGAAATGATTGCAAGCATCTCCTTAGAATTTTTTTATCATATGTAAGTTTGCAAGAGTTTCTGCTTGGAGTTTGCCTAAATATCACGTACTTTGCAGGGACAAGTATGTTTCATTCATTTGTCCTGAAAAAAATAGTACCATATAGGGACATCTGTCTCCTTATATAGTGACACCTATTATGTTTTCCTTACAGAATTTATCACTGCATAGTTTTACAGTTTTATAAATTTGTAATTCAGAGTTAGAATGATTGACATAATATAAACTCAAATTAAAATAAAGAAATGTTTCTTTATAGCTAAAATACTTGCAGAGAATATTTATTGATATCACAATATGCCAGGCCTCAACCCGTTTTATTTTTAAATATTATGTTAAAATATTTATTAAATCTAACTCTGTTTATGATAATAAAATACCTATCAATAAACTTTATTTCTATAGTTGCTATGATTGCAAACTAAAAATAGATTTTGGTCTGTCCGAGAACAAAAACATGAATTTGCAAAAAATCGTAAAAATCAAGAATATGCACGTGAGAAGGGAGTCGAGTATTCTGTTAGAATGTAGCCACACACACGTGCAGTATGTGAATCCAGTCTCCTCAAGAAGATTAAAAGAAGAGATTGACTCCTAAAGGAAGTAAGACATGTGCTGAAGTAACCTTGCCTTCTAGCTGGCGACTGCCACTGACTGCCATTGGCACCTGCAGCAGGATCCCACCAGCATCCAGCAATCCTAGGGAATAAAGCCACCCAAGATAGCCGAAGCAAGAGGTACACTCTACATCTGTTGGTATATCCTGCTTACTATCACAGTAATTACAATAAACTTGCCTTGAGATAATGTCAATTAGAAATGTCTGTTTTGGGGGCAGGCCCAGTGGTGCAGCAGTTAAGTGCGCACGTTCCACTTCGGCAGCCCTGGGTTCACCGGTTCAGATCCCAGGTGCAGACATGGCACAGCTTGGCAAGCCATGCTGTGATATGGGTCCCACATATAAAGTAGAGGAAGACCGGCATGGATGTTAGCTCAGGGCCAGTCTTCCTCAGCAAAAAGAGGAGGACTGTCAGCAGTTAGCTCAGGGCTACTCTTCCTCAAAAAAAAAAGCAAATGTCTATTTTCTAATTCAGTCCATTTGTGAAAAGTTAGTTGTAATTGATTTTTGTTGTGAAAACAAGTAATACATGAATGTATTCCTCTCATGTTCTTTGTAAAAAAAATAATAATAATAATTCAGAGGTGTATGGATTGAAATGTGTTTCCCTCTGGCCCTTGGTCTCACTCCCCTCCTCTGAAGCAAACACTGTTAACCTGTTAACCAAATAGTGTGTATATAGATTGAGTCCTGTGAAATTGTCTCATCTGTAGGTCAAAAACAGCAAATTTTGGCAATTTCCTATGGTTCCACCTATTACTTCCAGGCTTTGTAAAAACTGTGTTGCATTAATGCTGTTGTTCTTCTGAATTAATTATCTCAGTCAAATATTTTCAAATAAAGAGATGATTCTCTAGGCCTCAATGGCCTTTGATTTCCTTTTCTTCTCTTTTTTTAAAATCTTACATTCTACAATTTTTTAATATCACTTTATTTCACATATCACCACTGCAGGATGTTCCCAACTCTTCATAATTAGGATGACACTGCGTTCAGTCAAAATCTGTGCTTATTGCTCTTTCCTTAGTGTCAAATACAGTGTCAGAGACAGGATGAAGAAGCAAACAGAGGTAATATTTGCTTCACAAGAAAAGTGTTAAGGGGTTTGTTTGTTTGTTACAAAAAAGACACACACTTCTCCAGGAAACAGAAAAAAGACAAGAGCCTTCCTTCTGGATGGATTCTGGTCTGACTATGGGCTACTCACCTAGGAGTCTCTGGTCATTCCTTGATACTTGGTACTAGGTTGCTGTACTAGCCTCATCTCTAGCATACCCAGGCCGGGGGGGAACAGAGACCCCTTTGCTTTTTATGGCTTTTAGCTACTCCAGACCCTTTAACTGTCCCTTTCACCCCATTCTGATGTGACCCTCTACAGCATACATATTACTTTATTTTACCATCTTTCCTTTAGGTTCTCTCTCAGCCCTGAGCAGTTCTGTATAGGATCTGCAAATTCTACTTCAGTGTCCCAAAGTATGATACTTAACCCACTGCTGCTACATGAGATCATTTTAGGTACTATAGTGATAAACTTTTAAAAGATATTAATAGTGACATGTATGTGTGTGTATTAGAAAAAGTAGTTATTAACAAATTTGCAATTGCATATATATTTCTTATAATGATGCTTAGATTAAAAAACAAGTTAGTTGATTTATGATATTAAGTCAATAATAAAGGCAGCATGTGACGGTTAACTGGTGATTGGTAACGTTGATCTAATTCAGTTCCCATGTCCTCTTACCCCACACTGTCTGTGGACAACAACCTTTTCCCCCTTCCATCACACCTGTACCACATCTCCCTTCTCTTACCTGCTTACCACCCATTCTCATTTCCAGTAGCACAATGCAGAAAGGCTATATTTGGACATAGAAGCTGCATGTATTTACTGTTAGCACTTTTGGTCTATTCACTTGTTTAAGCATCATTTGCTGTATAAACCTCAGGAAGAGCCACTGACTTGTTTGTTCAGAAACCGCATATTATTGCCTAACAACATCTGGAAATGATTGTCTTCTTCATTCAGGCATCTCCTTCAGGCATCAGCTTTGCCAAAGGGAGATAGAGGGAAAGGAATGGAGTAAGAGGGGGATCGTCTCATTTCCCACCTGGTGGAACTCATAGGTTTGAGTCTACCAGTAGTATTCAATTGTGTAACCTCTACACCTGTACTGAGTGTTCACTGTTGTCCCCTGAACGTCTAGCTATGGAAACATAAGAGTACGGAGCTTGGAAATACTCCCTCAATCCAAATTCCAGCTGTCTACTTACTAGCTTGGTAATTTTGGAACCACTTTCATAATTTCATGTGTCCTCATTTTATTCATCCATAAAATAGGGATAATCTTAGGGGTGATAATATTTCATAGAGCGGTTATAAGGATTAAGTTAGTTAACATATATGATTTGTTTACAGTTCCTAGTATATTGTGAACTTTTGATATCTGTTTGCTATTATCATCTTGAGTAAATTCTAAAAAAGTCAAAATATTTCCAACCCCCAGGTGTAAGCACATTAAAAAGGTAGTTATTGTTATTAATTGGCATTTTCCTTGTGATCTATGGGAAAAACCTGTACATTGTGAGCTTTTTCACTGTCAGACAAGAAATTCAGCATACACACACATACACACACACACCTGGTTAAAAATTAAATAAAGCTAAGACAGTTTTATTTGAAAAATTCTAGTAATATAAAACCTATCGAATTGAAATACAGTCATGTGTCACTTAATGACAGGGATATGTTCTGAGAAACGCATCCTTAGGCAATTTCCTCATTGTGCGAACATCATAGAGTATACTTACACAAACCTAGATGGTACAGCCTACGACACACTTAGCCTATATGGTGCTAGTCTTATGGGGCCACCGTCGTATATGCAGTCCGTTGTGAACTGAAAAGTCATTACGCCACGCATAACTGTAAAGATTTAGGTGATGTTACTGGTATTGCTTATAAATTCCCTGATAATATATGTCTGTGACTGAAATTTAGAATGCCTCTCATCTGGACATTTTCTGCCCCCTTAATTTAGCTAATTTGATGCTGTGTTCATATTTTCATATTATGAGCATAAGGTAGGTCTTCCAGTTTTTCCTATGCAATTTCCTTATGAAATGAAATTTGTACATCATTTCGTTCTATTTACTTCATGAAGACTAGAAACTAGACACTAAAGCCTTTGATAAAGCATACTATAAACTTCCAATGCAATGAGAATAACTTGATTTTAAAAAATTAAATAAGGAAGTAGCACTTCTTGTGAGAAAGAAATGCCGTAACTCCATATGGCCCATTATCCGGGTCAATCACTTGCCAACATTTTTCTAACCTTATGCTATTTCAAAGACAGGGAGTAAGAGTTGGAATGAATGAGTCATTCGTGAACGTATACTGTCACTTTATAATCTTTGACCCTCCACTGGCTCCTTCAGCTGGCCTCTCTTTGGGAGTCTGCAGTTCTGCTAAGCTTGCTGACAAGCACTGGGCAGTGGAGAATTTCGTGTCTGACGATGGCCAAGAGCCTCTAGCCCCCGCTAAAGCCCACTCTTCAGTCGAGAATCTGGTCAAGCCTCACTTTGAAATGTTTCTTTCCTGAGTTTCCAGATTATATTCTAGGCAGAAGTGCCTCTACTCTGTCTCACATTCAAGTCATTGATCTCATGGAGGCCACATCTTTCCCATGCACATTTTTTCCATGATAGAGGCCACATCTTTTCCATGGATGAATCCTAGAAAGTACTTCTCACATACTAGTGCAAAATAACTTTTTTTACTGGAAAAGATGGAATTGAATCCCTTTCAACAATCTAAGTAATATTCTTATATTCCATCACTGGAAACATTTAATGCTAGAATAAAAGTGGAAATTAATTTCAAAAATTTATGTATTTCATACAAAAATAGAATTTGGGATCAGAAAATGTCTTTGAATCCTTGTTATTCTACTTGTTATATGTCTTTGGGCACTTAGTTTGATTTTTCTCACCTCTAAAATTAAATGCTTACCTCATATGATTATTTTGCAATGCAAATACATCAGGTGGATAAATCACTTAGCATGGAGCCTAGCATTTGACAGGACCTCAGTGGCTATGAAGTCCTCCCCTCTCTGCCAACAAATACAAATATTTATGAGAACACCAACAATCAAATCAAAGACTCTGAAAGGAAATTTGTAATAAGTATTTGTAAAATGATTGGGAAAAACAAGATTTCTCCTCCCCAGATAAGAAGAAAATATGAAGGGAGACTGAAAAAGAAGAATGCTTATATTCATAACAGGACTCATTTACTTCAGGATTTCATCTCTCCTTTCCATTCTCTACCCGTAAATAACTAAATGTCCAGATGGTAATAATGCCTCATAGCTAACTTTATTAATTTACCTTCTCAAAATAAATTTCTGACAGCCTGGATTTATCAAAGCCAACATCTTTCAGTAATCAGTAAATAAAAACGCAATGTGGTGAAATGAGTTAAATTGAAAAAGC